CAAAAAAGAAAAGGAAAAAAGATAGATAGAGAGATAGAGAGAGAGAGAGAGAGAGAGAGAGAGAGAGAGAGAGAGACAGAGAGAGAGAGAGAGGGGGGGGGCAGAGAGTACAACCAAGTGCATTTCGCAGACTCCACGCAATATAGATGTACTGCGTTCACTGGCAGCTTTCAATAAGTTAACAACACTATACCGGCTATATTTAGTCCAAAAACAAATTAAACATAGAAACACAGAGACAGAACTGAAGACAGAGCGCGCAGAACAAATAACAACACCCAAATAAAGCACCCACACACGCATCGACCAAGATTCTGACCACTACACCACCAGACCACAATGAGGAGCGGGAGAGGAACAGGAAATTTAAGAAGCGGGGAAAAAACGAAAAAACCCAGAAAAACGACAGAATAAAGAAGGCAAGAGCAAAGAAGGAAAAAACGGAAAGGTAAAGGGGCAGAAAAAGAAGGAAAGAAAAAGGAAAGTGAAAAAAAAGAAGGAATGAAAGTATACAGAACACAGACTAGAGTAAACAGTGCACCTGTGTACAAGTATATCTAAAGATAGATGTCCGTAAGGGCTGTTCTTTCATTACAGGTGTTAAAAATCCTGTTAGTCCACAGTGAGCCTAGAAATCTCTCTTTCTTTGCATGTCCCCAAACGCTGTACGTACCAAAGAGGGGGAAAAAGGGGGGGGGGGGAGGGTATGGGTAACGTGGGGTCATCATAGAACTGGTACACATGATCTTCGTTTATTCGAGTAAAGAGAAGCGTATCGATAACGGTCGTTTAGCGCTAGGAAACAGAAGCATACACAGACACCATAGAGGGAACAAAAAGAAAAAAAACCCAACAGAGTACACCTTCCAATGTTTCCCCTCCAACCATCTGCCACTGGTTGGGACTTCTGTACCACACAAGAGTTTCCGGTATAACAACGACGGCTGGTCTGTAAGCCCTAACCGACGCCATGTACATGATTTAGGAGGCGGGCTGCTTCGACCCTGTTTGTTTTAGTTTTTGTAAGAGTATTACGGCACTCGCAACACAATAAGGTCATACAAGTACCGAAGATTAGAGGCGTTACAAGAGAGCAACAAACACAAAAAAGGGGGGGGGGGCAAGACGATAGATGTTTGATCGGAAAGAAGAAGCAAACTACATCAGAGCATCCGTCAACCACCCACTTCCTACTTGTTGGAATTACCCCTGTCTCAGATACAGACAACATCCCAGAAGAAAGACGGAGACACTCGGTGAAACAGAATCTCTCATGAAGGAAGCCAACTAATGTCTCGTGAAGGATAATGATAATAATAGTAATAGTAATAATGATGATAATAATAATAATAATAATAATAATAA